TGCCTGATCAAAAGGGTGTTCGACAGGGGGTGTCCCATGTAGGGGCAACTGTACACCCTCGTTGTGGAGCCCTTTCTGTGCCTTCTCAGGCAGAAGCTGAATGGCCTCGTCCTCCACGAGCCGAGCCTCAGAGTGGTGCTCAAACCATACGCCAATGACATCCTCTTCACCATGGGCTCACTGGGTGACATTTCCCTCCCCCACGCCTGCCAGGGCATTTACTCCAGGGCCTCCTCTGCAAAAAACGAACTGGGGAAAGTGCTGTGGGATGCTGGTCGGAAGGTGGGACCAAACCCAATTTCCAGAGCAGGCCAAGAACATCACGTAGAGCACCGCTTGGTGCCGCCTACAGGACCTTCATGAGGTCCACTTTGACAAAGCCGAACAGAAAAAAACCGTACTAGTTCATGGTCCAGTTCCACCACCAAGACACGCTGAGGACCCACAAGGACCACGCCTGGAGAGTGACCCTCCCCCTTTGAGGGCCAAGAGAAACCTCCTTGGAGGAGTTTCTACTCCAAGCCGTCCTACAAGTGCCAGAGGGACTTCAGTTGGAGCCTGGCTCATGGCACCATCACCACCAACGCCTTTCCTAGCGAAGTTCACCGACACTGACCCTCAGTATTTCCTATGCGGCGAGCAGGTGGAAATGGTCGCACACACCTGTACACCCAGGGCAAAGGCTCTGGATTCGCTCTTCCAAGCCCCTGCAAAATATCCTGCTGAAGTTGTCTGCACTTCTCCCTCACAGCACTCGTCTTTGGCCAGAGGGGAGACAGGGGGATCTCACATGCACCAGGAAGGCTTTGTGAATGCCCCGATGAGCTACGCCCAGTGCCGGATTATCCTAGCAGCAAAAGTAGCTAAATATGCTACGGGCACCGCACTTTCAAGGGCCCCATGCTAAATGCTTTCAAGCTATCATTTCCGATTCAGTGATTCTGCACTTAGTATAGTACTATACTGCCTTTAACTTTTATGAACGACTGGGTGTTTAAGGTTAGCGATTTGTCATATTACCTGGCTATATAGCAAATGAAAAAATACAATTACTTTACTATGCAAGTTAAACATTTATGTGTTTTAATATTTATGTTTAAAAAATGTAGGGCCCCTTTATAACATATGCTACAGGCCCCACACTAGCTTTATCTGGCACTGGCTCCGCCAAGCTGGCGATCTGCAGGGCGAGGAAGGTGGCTGTGGATGGCAGCCGGTCACCAAATGCCCGCAGCATCCTTGGGGCCCTGCTCCTCCGCCAGGGTGTGGCTGGGGAGTTCTGCCACTCTAAGCTCAACGGGGATGCCCGAACCTTCTTGGAGCAGTGGGCGGCAGAGGGAGCTGTGTGCTCCGTACTGGACAGTGGAGAGTTGATTCTAGATTTGAAGCTTTCGAGACTGCAAGGATTCATCTTCTTAGGTTTTTTCGGTAAAGTCACGTAGGTAAAAAATTTAAATTTATAAAAGTAAAATAAAAAATAAAATAAAAATCACGACGTTTCGGAGGCAACACAAGCTTCCGTCTTCAGGTGGAACCGTCACAGCACGATAGCTGTATCAAGTGAGAGAACTGTTTTCTTAGAGAGAACTGTTTTCTTAGAATTTCTCTCACTTGATACAGCTATCGTGCTGTGACGGTTCCACCTGCAGACGGAAGCTTGTGTTGCCTCCGAAACGTCGTGATTTTATTTTATTTTTATTTTACTTTTATTAATTTTAATTTTTTACCTACGTGACTTTACCGAAAAAACCTAAGAAGAAAAAAGTGGAGAGTTGGTTGTGGCAGACTGCGCTGGGCCTCCCCCTCCTGGCAGAAGCTCGTTATTTACATGTATACCGCATACTTGTTTGCATTACGGGCACATCTATTTCATTCGGTGCACTCACGTCCAAGGCTATGGACACTCACGAGCAAAACAACAAAAACAAGCAATAGGCGAAATGGTGACTGAAGGGTGCTCACGATGGTGAAAAACCTGAGACTGATCGGGAAAAAAGAGGAACAGAAGGGGGAGCGAGGATGGGAGGGAGTAGGGAGGGAGGGAATGGGGAGGGAATGGGGCGGGTGTAAGCGAGCAATGGGAGTTGTTTACAGACACGCGACAGAAAGTTGGTTGAGTGAGACCCGACGTGCAGAGAAGCGGTCGATGCATGTCCGAGTGTGATTCTGTTATAGCAGTACAATAAATAGGTCGACTGAAATCCTCGTTTAATTCGGCAACAATCACTCGTGCCCTGATTGTCATCGTGAGGTCATTGGGACAAAACAAAACTGAGTTTGGTTCCTTTCCACATGAGCGGGGCTGTAACTTGGTGGCAAACGTAAATAAAACGAAACCTATATAACCTCTTGCTGCAGTAGTTATCTCGCTATGTCTCCAGTCTCAGCAGTTCGTCTGCTGTATTTTTTCACCTGAAGACGATTGCTTGTGTTGCGATCGAAACGTCGTGATTTTTTTATATATATCTACGTGACTTTACCGAAAGACCCAAAGAGTATGGATTCCTGCAGTCACGAAAGCTTAAAATCAAAATAATATGTAGTTTGCATGTGTAATGACAGGGTGACACCTGCCGGCCTATACGGGTAATTACGGTTATAGATAGTTTATCTTTATTTTAACCAGATAAGGCCCCACTGCGCTATGTCACTCTTTTATCAGCAGCGACCTGACCATGACAAATGATAGCTCAAAGAAGTGACTGATATCTTTAGGTGGACATTTATAGCAGCAGACAAATACTCTAAAAGCACTTTCGTACAGACTCACAGAGACCCACATAGAACCATACAGACTCCCACAAATACCCACATAGACCCATAGAGACCCATTACTCAGTTTAACACGTAGGCTTACGCGACCAGTATTATTTACTTCAATAATGTCTGTGTCCCGCACGTGACATCACTCCACGTCGGCCAGCCCCCCTCATTAATACTGATTAACAGGTGACGCCCTCCACATGGACCCCCACTCATAATAATCATGAGCGGGTGACGTCACTCCACGTCGAACAGCCCACCACATTATTAATCATGAAGAGGTGATGTCTTCCAAATGGACACCCCCCCCCCCAATTAATATTAATTAGCGGGTGACGTCACTCCATATAGGGGGGAGATGCGCCTCCTCCCCCCCTCCTCAGCGTCAATTTACAATCCTCACTACAAAGGCCGAACCCTCACGTCACGTGATCTCCGTAACGCTATTGAGACATAGAAGTAAAAAGGACGTCATAATGAACAAGGGATTATAACCTTTAAATGAAATAAGTTTGTGTCACCGCGGCCTTAAAAATTGCACGCGAATTAATGCAATAAATATCATGTCGCGGTCTGCTTTTCGCTTCCGATTTACTGAAATACACCCGTCCTTGGACGGGCAGAAGGCTAGTTCATAATAAAGGCTTTTGGGTTTGATCGCGTAAGTATAAATGTGTCGCAACCGTCCACCACCCGACACGGCCATTCAGTAAAAAATGTGTCACGTTAACAAAACGCCAATTAGTTACTTCTTCAGCCCACCGGTGTGTCTGAAGCGTGAATCCACAATTCTAAATGTCGTGGATATTCATATTCATTTTACTGATTGGCCGTGTCAGGTGGTGGAGGGTTGCGACACATTTATACTTACGCGATCTGACCCAAAAGTCTTTGTTATGAGACCCATACTCATCGAGACTTATACTCAAACTCAACTTTTTTTAATGTTACCAGGTGTAAGGCTACACTGAGCTGCTGTGTACCTCTTTTTACACGCTTTCTATTTACTCACTCTGTTGTTGCTGTTGTTGTCGTTGTTGTATCCTCAAATCTTGTAACTACTTTTTTACCAACTTCCCAATGTGATATCGACTGCAAACTTGGTATGCTTATGTCATACTGATGAAAATACTATATTCTATCATAAAAAAGTAAAAAAAAAACATTTTTAAACATTCTTTTTTACGTGTTATGTTTCGGATTGGCTCTAATTGTCCACGGTAAACGGACGTTGGCTCTAAATGACCACGGTCCCTTACGTTATGGCAAGCTTCGCGGCCACTTCCTGGAGTCGTGGAGTTCTGCCATTAAGAGTACTGTACATTTCATTAAAGCGTGTTTAAAAAAAAGTTTTTTTCAAATAACACTTTTCAAAAGCGACCTGCCCATCACAAATTATGGACATTAATAGCAGCAGCGAAATACGCGCAATGTTGATTCTAAATGTGCAGTGGACACCTACGACCTATCTGCCCATAGATTGTTATGATACACTACACTATACACTACACCATTATACACTACGCTATACACTACACGACTATACACTCTGCTATAATCTAAGCTACTATACATTACTCTATACACTATACTATATACTACACACTACACGATGCACTACACTATACACCATGCTTTCCACTATGCTATACACTACTATGTTGTTCACTACCTGAGCATATCGGCACAAGGCAGAGAGAAGTGGAGAGAAATGGCGAGCGAGAGAGTTTAATTTCATTTCAGTGTCATTTATTTGGTATAGCCCTGTGAGCCATTCGGCTCTTGAATCGGGTGCAACCGCAACAAACAAAAACATGAACAAGAAACATTTTAAAGTGACTATGCGCAAACAGAAAAATCCAGGAAAAAACAGCAAAGTCTTCCAGAAAAAGCACCGTACATCAACGCTGTGTGAAAAAATCCCAGTGGGATGCAAGTCAAACAATAACAACCATAGAGATAGATAGACACACAAACTCCAAATATGCAGAAGAGCAGGCAGGTGTTCAGGGTCGGGATCGAACCCACGGACCTCCTGGGCACATGGTCACCGCAGCAGCAGGTGCAGGGGTTTGTGTCTCGATGCTGCCCCCACCCCACCCCACCCCACCCCACCCCACCCCACCCCACCCCACCCCACCCCACCCCACCCCACCCCACCCCACCCCACCCCACCCCACCCCATCCCACCCCACCCCACCCCACCCCACCCCACCCCACCCCGCCGTTTGCTTTACCTGCACGGCAGAGTACGCAGCAGAAACCTTCTGGCGATTTGTAGAACTCGTCGCCGCACTCGTCGGCGAGAGACGGCTCGTGCAGGGAACCCTCCAAGGCGAGCGGTAGCCAGGGAGAAAGAGAGAGAGAGACGCTGACTCCAAATATATTACAGCAGGCATCGTCAGGGGTCGGGATGAAATCCACGACCTCCTGTAGACCAGGCGAGGTAGTTAACATCTCATCACAGGGACGGAGAGAGAGACGTAGACTCCAATATACTGCAGCAGGCATCGTTCGGGGTCGGGATCGAATCCACGACCTCCGGTAGACCAGACGAGGTAGTTAACATCTCATCACAGAGAGAGAGAGACACAGACTCCAAATATACTGCAGCAGGCATCGTCGGGGGTCAGAATGGAACCCACGACCTCCTGTATACAAGGCGAGGTAGTTAACATCTCATCACAGAGAGAGAGAAACGCAGACTCCAAATAGGCATCGCCAGGGATCAGGATCGAACCCACGACCTCCTGTAGACCAGGCGAGGTAGTTAACATCTCATCACAGAGAGAGAGAGACACAGACTCCAAATATACTGCGGCAGGCTTCGTCAGGGATCTGGATCAAACCCACGACCTCCTGTAGACCAGGCGAGGTAGTTAACATCTCATCACAGAGAGAGAGACACACAGACTACAAATATACTGCAGCAGGCATCGTCAGGTGTCGGGATCGAACCCACGACCTCCTGTACACCAGGCGAGGTAGTTAACATCTCATCACAGAGAGAGAGAGACGTAGACTCCAAATATACTGCAGCAGGCATCGTCAGGTGTCGGGATCGAACCCACGACCTCCTGTACACCAGGCGAGGTAGTTAACATCTCCTAGCCACCGTGGCGGCCCCTGCGCGTGTATCACCGCCGCTGTGTCCGATGCGAACCGAAACGGCACCGAGGTGGCTTACGCGCGCCAGGCGTGATCACAATGACGTCCCATGAGGATGATGTCGACGACGACGACGATGGTGATGACGATGATGATGATGATAATGACGAGGTGTGGGGTTGAAGGATCACGGCTTAGGCGCGCGCGCCAGGCGTGATCACAATGACGTCCCATGACGATGATGATGATGTTGACGACGCCGACGATGGTGATGACAACGATGGTGATGATAACGATGATGACGATGATGACAATGAAAACGATGATGATGATGACGATGATGGTGATGATGACGATGATGACGATGATGATGACAACGATGGTGATGATGATCACGATAACGACGATGATGACAACGATGATGATGACAACGATGATGATGATGACGACGATGATCACGATGACGACGATGATGACGTCACATGACGACTACGATGATGAGAGATACAGAAGCAGAGGGGTTGAGATAAATCCACCTGGCGGCCTATTCATCCAGCAGTGGATTGATCACAGCAGGGGACGATGATGATGGTGGTGATGGTGGCGGTGGTGATGATGATAATGATGATGGTGGTGATGGTGGTGATGGTGATGATGGTGGTGATGGTGATAATGGTGATAATGATGATGGTGGTGATGGTGGTGATGGTGATGATGGTGGTGATGATGATGGTGATAATGATGATAGTGGTGATGGTGGTGATGGTGATGATGGTGGTGGTGATGGTGATGATGGTGGTGGTGATAGTGGTGTGGTGATGATGGTGGTGGTGATGGTGATGATGGTGGTGGTGATGGTGGTGCTGATGATGGTGGTGATGATGGTGGTGATGGTGGTGAATTAATGAGAGGTGGCGCGGCGGTTAGAGCTACGCTGCACTACGAACCCGGCGACCCAAGTTCGATTACCCGCTCACGGCCACCAACACCACCAGTGACGATTTTAGAACCGGTCCTGGGCCTCCCCTAGGTCGACTCAGCCTCAAATGAGTTACCTGGTGCGGTAAACATCGCCACTGGGGAGACAAAGGCGGCCGGGCGTGACTGTTGGCCACCCATCCCCTCGTGTGCAACAGCACCGGTCGCCTTCATCGGCGCTGCTACTCGCTAACAGCACTTGCCCCGACAGTCTGTTCCAGGCTACACGGGGGATCTCTGCCTTTGAATGAATGAATGGAGGAGCGGCCCTCCTCACCAGCAGTAGCAGCAGCAGCAGGAGCAGACGACGCATCGCTGTCCACGGGGCCATGCCGCTGTTCTGCTCCTCGTCACCGGACTGCACTCAGAGTCTCCCAGTCACTCGCCACACTTTGTTGACCGCAAAATATGTGGTTGAACGTGGGTGGGTGTCCGTGTGTGTGTATGGCTGAGGGGGGTGGGGGTGAGTGTCTGTGTGTGTGTGTGTGAGATTGAGCATGGGTGAGTGTCTGTGTCTGCGTGTGTGGATGAGAGATTGAGTGTGAGTGTCTGTGTGTGTGAGATTGAGCGTGGGTGAGTGTCTGTGTGTGTGGATGAGAGATTGAGTGTGAGTGTCTGTCTGTCTGTCTGTGTGTCTGTGTGTGTGAGATTGAGTGTGCGTGAGTGTGTGTGTTTGATAGTGAATGAGTGAGTGGGTTAGTGTGTGTATTTGAGATTGGATGAGTGAGTGGGTGAGTGTGTGTGTCTGTGTAAGAAGTGTGGTTTTTGAGAATGGATTTCTGTGTGTGTGTGAGATTGGGATCTGTGTGTGTATGAGTATGAACGAGTGCCTGAGTCTGTCTGTCTATGTCACTACTCTTTGCCGAACATCGTCGGCTATGATCGTCCGGGGGTGTTCAACAAAGCGTAGAACAAACGAATCACGTTGGCCTGGCGATGTACAAAGATGAATCAATGTGACAACAAGCGACGTGTCATGCTCCTTTTCACAATTGGAATGCGGTCAGGTGATTGTGTTTATATTGCTCACTTGATGTCGTTCAGGGAGATGGTGGGGGGGGGGGGGTGTACCTAGGGTGCCGTAGTGGCTAGGTAGAAGTTAACTACCTCGTCTGGTATACAGGAAGTCGTGGGTTCGAACCTGACGCCTGCTGAGTTTGCGTGTCTCTCTTTTTTTTACGATCAGAGGAAACAAGAAGATGCTCGGTGTCGTCGGTACTTTGTTTCGTTCATAAATTCGTGTCTCTCTCCCCGTGGTCGCGTGAAATCTTCTTCGAGTCCTCCGGTTTTTCTCCTCCACATTTATATATCTTCAACGCGCATTTAGTTTAACACGTAATAGTATTAGTAGTACTTGGCTTTCGCGACCTATATTACCCACGATAGAGGTTTTTTGGATCAGATCGTGCAAATACGAATGTGTCGTTAAACCCGCCACCACCCGACACAGCCAACCTGTCAGGGTTCGTTCAAAACGTGGCCAATTCGTTACGAGTACAGCACTTGCCGATTGTGTGTTGGTGGAGTAAACCCACTGCAACATTTACAATTTCAGTACCGTGACGTTTCGCCGGTAATTACAACAACCACAAAAACAACAACAACCACAACAACCACAACAACGAGCATCATCAGGCGACAGCCGCAGAGTTGTCGCGAATTCCTCCTCCTGTTTCAGCCTCATCAAATCTGTCTGTCGCCTGATGAAGCTGGTTGTCATTGCTGGCAAAATGTCGTCCTCACATTGTAAATGTTGCAGATTTGCTCTCCAACAAAGTGGTGTGCGTCTCATCACAGGGAGAGAGAGAGAGTCTGCGTCTCTGTGATGAGATGTTAACTACCTCGCCTGGTCTACAGGTGGTCTTGGGTTCGATCATGAACCTGACGATGCCTGCTGCTGTATATTTGGAATTTGCGTCTCTCTCTCTGTCTCTCCCCCCGTGGTCGCGTGGATTTTTCTTACGGATCCTAAATGGGGTTTTCCCTTCCACATTTAGAATCAACATCATCACGCGTTAAGAGTGATTTCGCTGCTGCTAAAAAATATCCACGTGATGATATCAGCCACTTGGCTGAGCTGCCTTCATTTGTGATGGCCAGGTCGCTTCTACGAAAAGAGTTACACAGCAGCTCAGTGGGGCCTTACAGCTGGTAAAATAAAAAAAAAACAGGTTGCTATTTTTGTCTACCTTAGCTGCAACTAATCCAAAGTTATTTCACAATATCTCATATTTCGTATAGGAGGGCTTTATCTCCAAACTGAACAAACCAATAAAGCAGCATTGGAGGTATACAAAAAAAAATCACATCCGTCAATAACAAGACCTTGAAATGAAATATATAAATTGATGTAAGTGATAATAATGGATGTGTAGTGTGATTCAGAGACAGAGTTTCTAGGAGACACTTTCTTTTTTAACAACTTCCACGGCCTCGTCCTCACACTCATCACAGTAGCTCAGCCTAGCCTGTACACAACACTAGCCGTCTAACACTGACGACGCGGACTGAGATATTCAACTACTATCCTTCATAGCACAATATCTAGCGGAGTCGTTTAGCGACGATGGAAACGAGATGACAGCAACGACGAGATGAGTCCACTCCCAGAACCGGCAGCGTCGAGCTCCCACTCTCGGCTCAGTTTGATGCTCCCAGCGCAACCTGGTTCCGCCCTGACTGCGCCTCCCTTCTTGAACCCGCTAGCAGGTTCCAGGGGCCTCCAGACGAGGTCCTCCTTGACCCTTGTGCTAGTTCCTCCTCTCTGCCAACGGACCGTGCTCACGCTCACCGGCGTGCGTAGTTTGTCCACGACAGTCGTCGCTGCTGTCCACCAGCCGGCGTTACTACACTACATATGTATGATGTGTGGAACTTCTTTACACTACCATACGTAGCCAACCGTGCTCATCTGTAGGTCTCTATGGGTCTGCGTGTCTGTGTGTCTCTGTGTATGAATGGTATGTTGCACTTCTTTGGCACCTTACATAGCCAACCATGCTAATTGGAGGTGCTATGAAGAAGGGACATTGCCCAAAACGTCGTCTGATATTTTGGTGCCACTGTGGCTAAAAGATGTTATCTCCCTCGTCTTGTATACAGGAGGTCGTGGGTTTAACCCTGACATTGGACATGCCTGCTGCTGTATATTTGGAGTCTGCATCTCTGTCTCTCATCATCATCACGGTGGCTAGATGTTAACTACCTCAGCTGGTATAGAGGAGGTCATGGATTCGATCCCGACCCCCTGACGATGCCTGCTGCTGTATATTTGGAGTTTGCGGTGTGGCGAGATGTTAACTACCTCGCCCGGTATACAGGAAGTTGTGGGTTCGATGCCGGCTCCGGAAAATGCATGCTGCTGTATATTTGGAGTTTGCATCTCTTCCCTCCCTCTCTCTCCCCGTGGTCGCGTGAATTCTTCTCCGAGTCCTCCGGTTTTTCTCCTCCACATTTATATATCTTCATCGCGCATTTAGTTTAACACGTAGTAGTAGTAGTACTTGGCTTTCGCGACCAATATTCCCACGATAAAAGTTTTTTGGATCAGAGCGTGCAAATACGAATGTGTCGTTAAACCCGCCACCACCCGACACAGCCAACCTGTCAGGGTTCGTTCAAAACGTGGCCAATTCGTTACGAGTACAGCACTTGCCGATTGTGTGTTGGTGGAGTAAACCCACTGCAACATTTACAATTTGAGTACCGTGACGTTTCGCCGGTAATTTCAACAACCACAAAAACAACAACAACCACAACAACGAGCATCTTCAGGCGACAGCCGCAGAGTTGTCGAGAATTCCTCCTGTTTCAGCCTCATCAAATCTGTCTGTCGCCTGATGAAGCTGGTTGTCATTGCTGGCGAAACGTCGTCCTCACATTGTAAATGTTGTAGATTTGTTCTCCAACACAGTGGTGTGCGTCTCATCATAGGGAGAGAGAGAGGCTGCGTCTCTGTGACGAGATGTTAACTACCTCGCCTGGTCTACAGGTGGACATGGGTTCGATCATGACCCTGACGATGCCTGCTGCTGTATATTTGGAGTTTGCGTATCTCTCTGTCTCTCCCTCCGTGGTCGCGTGGATTTTTCTTACGGATCCTAAATGGGGTTTCCCCTCCACATTTAGAATCAACATCACCACGCGTTTAGAGTGATTTCGCTGCTGCTTAAAAATATCCACGTGATGATATAAGCTACGTGGCTGAGCTGCCTTCATTTGTGATGGCCAGGTCGCTTCTACGAAAAGAGTTACACAGCAGCTCAGTGGGGCCTTACAGCTGGTAAAATAAAAAAAAACAGGTTGCTATTTTTGTCTACCTTAGCTGCAACTAATCCACAGCTATTTCACAATATCTCATATTTCACATAGGAGGGCTTTATCTCCAAACTGAACAAACCAGTAAAGCAGCATTGGAGGTTTACAAAAAAAATCACATCCGTCAATAACAAGGCCTTGGAATGAAATATATAAATTGATGTAAGTGATAATAATGTATGTGTAGTGTGATTCAGAGACAGTTTCTAGGAGGCACACTTTCTACTGTATCTCAGCCTCGCCTGTACACAACACTAGCCGTCTAACACTGACGACGCGGACTGAGATATTCAACTACTATCCTTCATAGCGCAATATCTAGTGGAGTCGTTTAGCGACGATGGAAACGAGATGACAGCAACGACGAGACGAGTCCACTCCCAGAACCAGCAGCCTCGAGCCCCCGCTCTCGGCTCCTTTTATGCTCCCAGTGCAGCCTGGCTCCGCCCTGACCGCGCCTGCCTTCTCGAACCCACTAGCAGATTCCAGGGGACTCCAGACGAGGTCCTCCTTGACCTTTGCCCTAGTTCCTCTGCTCTGCCAACGCACCCAGCATGCGTAGTCTGTCCACAACAGTTGTCGCTGCTGTCCACCAGCCGGCACTACTACACTACATATGTATGGTGTGTGGAACTTCTTTACACTACCATACGTAGCCAACCGTGCTCATCTGTAGGTCTCTATGGGTCTGCGTGTCTGTGTGTCTCTGTGTATGAATGGTATGCTGAACTTCTTTGGCACCTTGCATAGCCAACCATGATAATTGGAGGTGCTATGAAGAAGGGACACTGCCCAAAACGTCGTCTATGATATTTTGGTGCCACTGTGGCTAAAAGATGTTATCTCCCTCGTCTTGTATACAGGAGGTCGTGGGTTTAACCCTGGCATTGGACATGCCTGCTGCTGTATATTTGGAGTCTGCATCTCTGTCTCTCATCATCATCACGGCGGCTAGATGTTAACTACCTCAGCTGGTATAGAGGAGGTCATGGATTCGATCCCGACCCCTGACGATGCCTGCTGCTGTATATTTGGAGTTTGCGGTGTGGCGAGATGTTAACTACCTCGCCCGGTATACAGGAAGTTGTGGGTTCGATGCCGGCTCCGGAAAATGCATGCTGCTGTATATTTGGAGTTTGCATCTCTTCCCTCCCTCTCTCTCCCCGTGGTCGCGTGTATTCTTCTCCGAGTCCTCCGGTTTTTCTCCTCCACATTTATATATCTTCATCGCGCATTTAGTTTAACACGTAGTAGTAGTAGTACTTGGCTTTCGCGACCAATATTCCCACGATAAAAGTTTTTTTGGATCAGAGCGTGCAAATACGAATGTGTCGTTAAACCCGCCACCACCCGACACAGCCAACCTGTCAGGGTTCGTTCAAAACGTGGCCAATTCGTTACGAGTACAGCACTTACCGATTGTGTGTTGGTGGAGTAAACCCACTGCAACATTTACAATTTGAGTACCGTGACGTTTCGCCGGTAATTTCAACAACCACAAAAACAACAACAACCACAACAACGAGCATCTTCAGGCGACAGCCGCAGAGTTGTCGAGAATTCCTCCTGTTTCAGCCTCATCAAATCTGGCTGTCGCCTGATGAAGCTGGTTGTCATTGCTGGCAAAATGTCGTCCTCACATTGTAAATGTTGCG